GGGGGGTGGGAACAAAGGGTCAATTTGACTCACTTACCATCACCCATCTCTGGGTTGTTTCCAAACAGCACGAGAAAAGAAAGCGAGAGAAGATTAGCACATTATGTACCAACTGGCCTAGCTAGCTCAGTGTGCTGAACTGTTGAAACACAGACCCGGGGTTCAAACTCCACTGGAAGCAGACGAGTGCAATACTACAATTGCCAACTGTGAATTACCTTAGGGCCGATCACTACGATGATGATATCTCAAGGCTGTCGTCCTTTCTTAAAGATTTTTTTTTTTTTTTTTTTTGAAGTAAGGTTAGCACATTATGTGAGGCTTTACTCTCGCTGAGGACCTAAATGTGCAAAACAAAACTGTAGCATCCACCAGGACCCTCCAGCATAGCCCTTCTGCCGCGTCGACTAAGGCAATGTAGTATGTACTGAAAATGAACTCCCTCGTATGTAGTTTTTTTTAATTGCCTCTCTCTTCGTCCACACTACCATCTTCACCGGAATAGAACGCCCAGTCTTATCGCTGCCTCTGGACTGACAATCGCCCAAATACAGCTGTAATGACAGGGCGTTCTATTCGGGTGAAGACGGTAGTGCGACGAGCTTCTGAAGTCCACCTCCATACCCGTGGCATCCAGTTTGAAAAATCCCTTCTGTAGATCCACCCCTAGATCATCAAGATGTCAAAAGGACTGAACGTCAGTCGCTTGAACGTGATCAGGGCTTTCTCGCCAACTGAGGCCATGCTGTCGTGTCGACCCCTTCTGGATTGGAGAAAAAAAAATAATGCCTTGTGTGCTCCCTTCTTCCAATCTAATAAACCCCTAGAATCCTAGATCATGAACAGGTGCAAAGGACGGAAAAAAGTTGTGAAAACTGAACATCTGGACAGTGTAAAATGTCTAACCTACCAACAGGCCTACCTTCTTCCCCCGAATACAACGTACGGTCGTTAAAGCTGTATTTAGACTGAAAGATACGCCAAATACAGCTATAATAACCGTACGTTGTATTCGAGGGAAGAAGGCAGGTCAGTTGGTACACCCACAAAACTCTTGAAATATGGAGCCAAGTTCGAATCCAGAGAGACAATCAGATGAGCAGAAGAAAATCAGGATGAAGTACCATGCCGGCTTCCGTCTGATCTTGTAGGTGGCCAGCGATGAGATCTATCAAAGGCGGTCGTCGTTGGGCCCAGCCACCGATGTTTTAGGAGTAGGATATTTTCCCGTTTTCCCAACAGAGGGAAAGGTAGTGGTGGTGGTGAAGCATCTATCCGAAAAGCTTGATGTCCGCCTGGCCGAAGTTGGGGAACTGGATTTTTGCCGAATGGAACGCGCGGTCACTAAAGCTGCACTGGGTGAAATTTCAAGTCCAGATACAGCGATAATTACTAATTAGTAATTACCCATGTGTTCTATTCGGGGAAAGAGGGTAGTCCTGTTGAAGGCAGAAGGCGGCGGTGGTATCAGGGTGCCTGCATGAAATTGATAGGGAATACTCGCACTGCCGTCTTCCCACGAATAGTACGGGCGGTCATTATGTTCGTTTTTGGACCCGCTTTCAGTCCAGATGCAGAGAAAACGACAGTACGACTGAGTACGTTCTATTCAGGGTCATTATAACAAACGCCCCATACCTCTTAAGCCAGACTTGTCACCCAGTCCATAGAGTGGACACCAAATAAATTGATCAAAGGGTCCTAAGACCCCAAGGCAGAAGTGTGTTTTCATGCAAAATTCGCCATTTTCAGTTTTTTGAACTTTTTTCTGACTTTTTCAGGATTTTCAGGATTTTCAGGGCTGGCCAAAACAGTCATCTCCAAGACCCGAACAACAAACACCAAACTTGGCACACCCAGACCTTGACCAAAAACTAAACAGGGCCAAAAAAAAAAAAAAAAACCTAAAACACAATCCCGAAATGCACTTTTCACCTAGGAAGATTCTCACGCCCGGCTGGTCCTGCCCGGGGGGTCTGATGTCCGGGGTACCCGGGCGTGCAAAAAAAAAAAGAACAATTTTTTTATTATTATTTTTTTTTATTTTTTTTTTTTTCCCCCTGCACTCTCCCAGAGGACCTCGAATCCGGGCTCATTTCTTTTTTTGCGAGTTGGCTGTCAAAAGGGGGGGAGGGGGGTATAAATTGGTTTTGAAGGGGCTAAAGGGGTTTAAACTTTAAAGGGGGGTTCCTTGTGTGATTCTGTTTGTTTTCTTTTTTATCTCCGACCCTGTGAGGAATTTTAATGTGACCCTCAGCCAAAAGTCGTTTGTATTTCAATTCTACACAACATTTTTTTTTTCCGGATTTTTTTTTTTTTTTGCGCTGGGGCTGCCTGGAACCCTGCCCGGGGGTCCTGCCCGGCGGGGCACCGGGGCGTGCACCCGGGCATAAGTTGGGTGCCCGGGCGCCCGGAAAAACAGCCTAGCTTTTCACTCTTTTCAGTGTTGCGGTGCAGGTCGTGTTCTGGCATAGACACAGAACTCGGAATTTTTTTTATTTTTTTTTTCAAAGGCTAATTCTTTTAAGCCCAACCAATTCAATTACCTGTCGCTGGACAGGACGGCTTTTCAGGCCTTTTTTATTGTCATTATAGTATTACGGGGAACCCCGTAGCAGCCACATCCATGCTCAGGCCTCCAACGAGGGAACATGCGGGAGCTGGACCCACCAGCAGGTGCGATACCTACTACAGCAGGTGGGCGATACCAGCCAGGGGTCAGCCGGTAGCATCAGGACCGAGCTTCTTCGATGGGCCAGTCACTGTGCCTCCCCTCTGGTCCCCTCCCCCTGTGAGTATCAGCAGTCTCTGCTCAATGCCACTCGGGGGGACCAACGACATATCTCTAGGTGGCGGGCGCCAAGCTTGCCCAGGAAGGTACATGAGGCCAATGGGGATTGAACCCAAGACCTCCTGAATGCCACTTGCATGCCTTACCAACTGAGCTAGGCCGCTGGATAAACTCGGAATTTTTCATAACCTCCCCCGGGTCCCCCCCAAAAAAGGGGAAAAAAAACAAAACAAAAAAAAACAGACACCCTTCACAACCAAAGGCTATCCAGTCAAGTATTTTGTTTTTCAACTTTTGTGTGAAACTCCTCGAGAACTTTGCGGAAAGGCCCAAAGTGGTTTGGAAAGATCCGGTGCGGTTTGGACAATGACTGACGGGGGATGTCAAACAGTTTTCGATACATTTATAAACTCCGATGAAACACTGTCACAGCGCCTTGTCTGTTGTCCTCTTCTTCCTCTCTGCCTAGGGGTCACCAGGCAGTACTCTTATGTCCTTTTCTCCCTCTTCTGGCTATGGTTCACAGGGCGGTTCTCTATGACGATATATATCTATAGAGAACTGCCTGGTCAGCCTTAGGCAGAGAGGGAGAAGAGGACAACAAACGAGGGGCTGTTACAGACTGTTTTGTCGGAGTTTTACCGACTGACTCATCAGGAGGCTGAACCCTATATATCAGCCTCCTGATGAGTCGGTGAAACTCCGACGAAACAGTTGGTCACAGCCCCTCGTTTGTTGTCCTCTTCTCTCTCTCTGCCTACAGTTTACCGGGAAGTTCTATTTGTGACGATATATAGATCTTTATACTGATTATAGATTATTGATAGTATAATATGTAATATAATTACTCTGGAATTCAATAATCACTTAGTTATACTATTTCTTCTCAATTTCTCATTTTTCATTTGAGTCTTTGGAGTCTAATTTGGATTAG